GTGGGAGTCTAGCAACGTAATCATTACACCACCTGATGGTCCCTAGAATTACCATTTTAAATATATTAATTCTTCTAATCCAGGAACATGGGATGTCCTTCCACTTCTTTGTTGTCATTTTCTAGTTCTTTTTTTAGGTTTTCATTGGTTTCCTTATAGAGGTCTTTGACTTCTTTGGTTAAATTTACTCCTAGGTATCTTATATCACCCCTGGGGGGTGATATCTCCCTTTTTGTGTCTCTGTCTCTCTGTGTCTCTCTCTGTATTTTTGGTGAGTGCATGCGCCCTATAGCAAAAACTCTCCAAAAAAAGAAAAAAACAAAGTGAGATACATAAAAATCATAGACGTTTCAGAAGATTATCAGAATGAACAAATTCTACTTCCATAATATAATCATACTTTCAACATTTCTGTCGCTGATCCTTTGAGTCCTGATAACAGGGACAGTTCTTCAAAAGAAGAGCAATTGATCCTTTTATAGGTTCTCTCCCAAGGAGTCTTCTCAAAGCTCTCTTTATATCTTTATTCCTCAGACTGTAGATGAAGGGGTTCAACATAGGTGTGACCACAGTGTACATTACTGATGCTGTTGCAGTTGAGTGTAAATTTTGAATCACATCAGAACCAAGATACACTGCCAGGCTTGTACCATAAAATAAGGAGACAACTGAGAGGTGAGAAGCACAGGTAGAAAATGCTTTATACTTCCCCTGAGCTGATGAGATTGCACATATGGAGGAAACTATCTTAGAGTAAGAGTAAAAGATTCCACTGAGGGGGCCAACAGCCAGAAGCACAGCTGCAACATAAATTGCCACATCATTAAGAAATGTGTCAGAACAGGCAAGATGGATCACTTCATTAATTTCACAGAAAAAGTGGGGGAGTTCCACATGTGCACAGAAGGACAGCCGCAATACCAATAAGCTATGCAACAAGGAATGCAGGGTACTCAGAATCCAGGACACCATAACCAGTAACACACAGAGCCAGGGGCTCATGATGACTGTGTATTGTAGGGGGTGACAAATGGCCACAAATCGGTCATAAGCCATCACGGTCAGGAGGAAGTTGTCCAACTCTACAAAGAGTATGAAAAAGTACATCTGGGTGATGCAACCTGCATAGGTTATGGCTCTATTCTGCATCTGTATGTTCACCAGCATCTTTGGGATGGTGGTGGAGGTAAAACCAATATCTACAAAGGACAGATTGGAGAGGAAGAAGTACATGGGGGTGTGCAGGTGGGAGTCTGAAATGGTGGCCAGGATGATGAGCAGGTTTCCAAACACAGTGATCAGGTACATGGAGAGGAAAAGCTCAAATATAAGGGGTTGTAATTCCGGTTCCTCTGAAAATCCCAGAAGAAGGAATTCTGCAATTCTTGTATTGTTCCTTGGTTCCATTTAGTGGTGATGACTTCCAGGAAAGAGAACACTAGTATCACCAATTTTCACTGGAAAGGGCATTACTCAATTATTTTAAAATCCTACGGTTTATGTTTTTAGTAAAAAAATGCATTGCTGTAATTCATGTATGGTCCTTCGCTCCTTTGTACTCCTCACTTCTGGGATATTTCTGATTGGGAATTTCTGCCCCATTCTCAACCTTGCCACAAGAGGTCATGTATGCTACAGTTTTAATGAGAAATTATTCAATGTGTTTGAGTGATATAAATTGAGAGCCCACCATAAACTAGGTACTGTCTGGGTAAAAAGTGTAAGTTCCTGAGAAACTAAAATACTTACATGCCACTGATGGATAAGACATATGAGCTGACAAAGAAGTAATTATGTTATTTATAAGATGCTAATAAGTGCATAGAAGAACAAATTATGTAAAGGGAAGAGATTGGACAGAGGTACCACCAGCTCTTGGGTGTGTCCAGGCAAAACTGGCAAACAAAATGGTGTTTGAACAGGTAGAGAGGGTGGGAGCTGTGAAGGTATCTGGAGAAGTGTATAACTTGCAGAGAGAATAAGTAGAGGGCAGAGTGATGAGATGGTATTAGGAGATATTAAGGAACAAGGAGGCCTGCTGCAGCTGAAACTTGTAATCCTCTTAACTCCTTATGTATGCAGTTCTCTAAGAATGTGGATAAAGCAGCAAGCTTCCCATTGACATGTAAACTTGGGCCACAATTTGATATGATTATTTTGTGTCATGTACTTAGGGAAATTTTGTAAAAAATCTACTTAATAAGCAGAGAGAGAGAAAGATTAATTAAATGGGCTGAGAGGGGAAAAGCCTGATGTAGTGAGGTGATCCATGAATGGATGAAAATCACAGGATGAAATAAGCTTCTTCGGCTCTAAGAGGGTGTCAACTCTGGGGAAATACTTTTGATGTCCAGAAGAATCAACAAAAGAGAAAAAAACATACCTGAAAGAATAAGGAGTGATATCTATATAATGACTAGACATTTTACAGATTTGATACTCCCAGAGAAAAATGAGCAAATGGACTGAACCCATGATTCGAAAGACAAAATATATAAAATAT